GGGGGGAGGGGCGCGCAGCTAGTGCGGGGTTCCTTCACCCCGTTCTTAAGTAGGGATCCGATGTAAGTCGGATCCACGTAACCCGGGGACTGCCTGTAGTTTTATGGCAAAGGAAGATCCTAATAAAGGAAACCCAGGATTTTTCCATCTCTCTACACAAATGCTGCAAAAAGGTGAAAAATAAAGACTAAGAGTATCCCTTCCAGCTGAAACTTAATTCAAATTAGGATGCCCTGCATGGCACCTCAGGGAGCTTGAAGAGTGCCTTTCAGTGACAGAAAGTTACGGATATAGGTAGATTTTACTTTTCTCCTTTGTGGGGCTCCTGGTGCTCTATGATCAATTTACAGCTAGGAAGTAATCAGCTGTAACCAATCTCCACAAACAGGAAGAAAACAGAATCAAGAGGGAGAACAACTTACACCTCTGAGGGTTTCATTTGTTTGTTCATTCATTCTGGAGTCTACATGCCTGACTGAATGAGCTCTCAGAGAAGGAAGGAAATCTCTGATGAACAATTTATAGAGCTGACAAATTCCTGAATGTATTTATCTGGAAACATTGGCTAGGGGACACTGTATCTCTTCTGAGGTCAGCCACCTAATCCTAAAATTGCACCTCATTTCCTTCAAAGATTTGTTTTGTGTAAAAAAAAAAAAAAAAAAAAAAAAAGGTAAGTCATGACACAGCTAAGTTTACAACCTTTTCTGGAAGGCCTTAGAACATGTGGAATACAAATAAATAATGCATCACAAGAACAGCAGGTCACCCAATGAAATTAATAGGCAGCAGACCTAAAACAAACACAAGGAAATACTTTACACAATGCACAACCAGTGGAACTGTTGACAGGGTATACTGTGAAAGCCAGAAGTGTAACTGGGTTCGAAAAAGAATGAGATACGTTCACAGAGAATACCAAAATGGTCTGGGATGCAACTACATGCTCTCGGTGTCCCTAAGCTTTCAGCCTCCAGAGCTAACACTGGGTAACGGGATGTACAACTCAATGGCTCTGTTCTGTTCTTTCCTCACCATCAGAAGACAGTGGGCTAAATGGATTACTGACCTGACCCAGTTTAGCCACTCTTATGTTTAAATAAATGGGTACAAATTAAAACAATAATTTCAGGAGACCAAAAATGTTGGTGAGGCCTAAAAATCACCACATCTGCAAAAAGCTACAAGTAAGGAACTTATTAATGCTCCTCATTTATGTAACTACTTACAGAAAAGCAGGTTAATAGGAAATAGGGGAGGATTCTGCCATACTTTTTTTAAAAAAAAGGTTAAAAGTGATTATTTGAAGCATTAAATAATGCAAATAGACTCCAGACAGTCTCTCTCAAGAGATGCAGGTTTAAAGGACTAGCAAGTGTGAGGCTGAAAGTGGAATGACTATACTACAAGATCTGTCACGGTACAAGCTGAACTTTCAGGAAGGTAGGACTTCTGTCCAATCAAGAGCCCTGTCTAGAAGAAACTTCAGATTATATAATTCTGGTTGTAATGGGATTGTTAGTGTTTAAAAATCAGAGTAAGTATCAAGTTCTCAAAATGGATTTATGGACAGTTTCAAAATATGTGCAATAAGTTCACATGCGCTACCAATTATTCATACTCTAGAAAGAAAATCTCTCATATTTTATGCCAAGTGTCTCAAGAACTGAAGGTCTGGAAATCTGAGGGGGTCCTCGACAAGAAGTTCCCCTTACACCAAGAGGTTCAGGGATGCTGAAACATAGCTTTAGAAATCTGAAAGACTCTCAACATCTAGGCAACCACATTTCTGTTAAATAGTTAAGGAATCCTCCCTACTTAAGGAATCAATGGTTTATTTCTTATTCTTTAAAATTCTTAGCCACAAAGGCCAATTTTTTGCTTAAAAAAATCATTAGATGCTTTGCATTGCAAGCTCCTCATGTGCACTTAATGAGAGTTTTGAAAACACCTAGTTGACACTACTGAAAAATATACAATAATAATCTACAAAACATCCTGCTCCAGTAAGAAGAGAGATTCCTTTGCTTTATTTGGGAATTTTAACTTTACCTACTTGTTCCTACTTGTGGGCATTACTTACTACAAACTCAAATATGCTTTTAAAAAACTGGGATATAGTTTTCCAGGTTTGTTTGTTTTACAAAAATAAAACAAAACAAAAACACCCCCACATCCTCCAGATTACATTTTGTTCAACAGCTACAGAATTTTTGCAATAGGATATATTACACAACCAGTGTTATACTCCATCCGTACAGAGAGGGAATGAGGAAAAAAAAAACCAAACAGAGCTTGAGCAGAACTGAATAAAAATGTTTTCATTATTATAAACTTGCAGTGTCTAAAAGGTAAGAAAGCTGACAGTTTGTTGTGTGAAGTGCCTAGCACATTTTTTGGCACTATAAACATTTTTACCTTCCCGTTCTTGATTTCTCCATCCATTCTATAGAGCTTAATTTCTAAAAATCAAATTGGCCATGTATTATGTTATGTAGAATTAAAATACAGAACTGCTCAATAACTTATTCTAAACACCAAAGTACAAAATCCTTGATTTACACTAACTATAAACATGTCAACAAGCACCTACCACAAAGAACAGACATTCTCTTTTATGGAAGCACCTAACAAATCCAAAATCAATATTTAAAAGCATAAAAGATTAGCTGATTTGGGGAAGAGTAGAAAAATGGCACCAACTTATATGAAGCTACTGAAGTAGCAGCATCAGAACGATCTTTATTGAGACAGAGATGAAGAAAATGCCAGCACAGAGGCAACATTCCACCACTTACCAAGAAATCTGTGAACCTAAAATTTTGGGTGACTGCTCACAAATATTCTGTTGACCTCATCTGGACTACTTGTACACGCGAGTGCTCACAAACAGGAATTCAAATGATAAAAAAACTCTACATTAATACACAGTTGAAGTTGCATGGTAATATTGTGTTCCCTTGCAGAACACTGAGTTGAGTAAAACTCAAACGTCTGAAAACCAGGAAATACAGTTTGCATAGGCAAACTACTATCCTCTTTTAGTAATGTCCAGTTAACACACATACTCCCATTCTGTCAATCCTATGTCTACTGAAATGTACAAGCTCTTCGCCACTTTTTACAATCCATTCACATTCACTCATAGGATTCCATCTTTCCAACCTACCCCTGCTCAAAACTCCCACCCTCTGGGGAAAAAAAAACAACCACCAAACACCACCACAAAAACAGGTTGCCCATGCCCTCTTCAAGCAATGCCTCACTATGCACAAACTCACACTGGTCTCTGAAACTTATGACTCAGCAGGTTCCAGACCCTACCATACACTTAATACACTTGCCAACCCCCCAGAAAGAATACCATGTGTACAATTTAAGAACTAATTCAGACTTTTACAAATATCCTAACACCTATAGGCTTTCATCTCGGCCTACACTTTCACTTAAGCATCATTAAAACGTTAGAATTCTTCCATATTCTACCTCATTGCTGACAATACCTTTGTTACAAAAGCCTTATGTCCTGCTACTGATATAACCTCCACAATATTGTATGGAAATAATATGTACTGCATCTTAAAGGTACACGTGAACCTCTTCCTTTTCCTCCCACAAGACTAAAAATACCAGTGGCTGGTGCGTTTATCAAGGAAAAGAGCATCAAAACAATCCCTCCAACTACCCAGACAAACATGGAGTGGTCGCATAGAAATCCTCTCAATAATTTTTTTCTGTAATCCTTACGGGTTGCATATTTGTTCAAGTAAATGAGTGAACATGTTCATCAATAATGTCCACAATTGGTTTTCATAAAGACTAGTTTTTCCCCAAAGTAATGCAGCACCCAGTGAGAACATTTAGATATTCTGATCTTTAGCTTTGCTCAAAATTTACCTGCTAGAAACTCTTTGAAAAATGGCTATTACCTCAGGACTTGGATCTCCACAATTCCTGGCTCAAATGACCCCAAGTTTGGGTTGCTAATCCTAACCGAGAGGTTGAGACATAACCTTAACTACAGTAGCACTGCCATGCCACTATTATAAAGATGCCAAAAGGTTAGTCAGTCTCATCCCTCTTGCATTCTCAGAGCTATATCAATCTCAAGGAGATAATCATACTGAAGACATTTCTTAAATCTAAAAAACTTGAATTTAGTAGACTGCTTCTGTGTAAGCGTCCAATGAAAGGGAGCTTTTCTGTACTATGGGATTTACTGGCATTTGCATTGTATTCTAAAGCAGTGTTTCTCAAAATGGGCAGTGGGCCCACTTTGAGTAAGCTGCTAATAGGCCACTCTGATTTGTTTACTTAACAGCTCCGTAACCATGGAGGCTCATGGCTCCCCTTGGCTGCAAACGGTAAACCGCCGTGGAGCCAGTAAGTAAACAAGCCAGAGGAACCCCTTAGCAGCTCTCTCAAAGTGGGCCCAAAGCCCACTTTGAGAAACATTGTTCTAAAGGAATTTAGTAAATGAATGAATTGTTGATATACTGCTTGCAATTTTGTTACTGAAAAAAAAAAAAAAAAAAAAAGATTATCCAATAAGAAAGCCAGCATCACAAAATGACTGATAAGGTAGAGAAATCAAGTATGTTACCTTTCTTTTTCTCCCTCTTCTAGCAACTTTAGGAACAGGTACATCATTAGCTTTCACCAGACCCTGAAAAAGTAGCATTTACAGGATTAGCAAAAAATATAAGAATTAATTCAAGTAATTATGATGCTTGAAGAATCATCTAACCGTAGCCTTTACTATATATTTTAGCAAAAGACTCTAGTCTATGCACACATAAATGTATGTGTTATCAAGTATCAATATTAGGCAATTTATGTTTATTTCTAAAACTGCAGTAGAAGATTAAGAATCAGAGACACCCCTCTTCAGAGACAGTGAAAGGCATAATGACTTGTTCTGAACTTCAGTAAATTGCAAATCAAATATTAATTAAAATTTTATTTAATATGAATGGCCATATTTTATTGAACTCATCAAATCACACAGAGGCAGCAGGGGAAGGTGGGAGCCACCTCCTCCTGAGAGGAGCTCAGGGCCCCATATGGACTGGGGCTGCTATTGTCCCATGCTGCCTCCAAAACCGGACCCTCCCACCCCCGGGGGATCAGCTCCACCTGCTACCCTGCGCCGCTGCCTCTGATACAGTACTGGCTGCCAGTCCCACCCCCGGGGATTATTTTAGTAACCATTAAAATTATTGCAGCTAAACGATTTACTTAAATACATAACATCTAACATCCCTAGTCAGAGCTGATAGGGGAATGAATGTGGCTCAGGTGACCTATGATGTCTGGAATATGGCCCTTGGCTGCAACCTTGGCTTTGGTGAAAAGCCCAAGGAGTCCAAAAGGACCACTGCGCAGGGGGCTGCCATCAGGCTGACCACAGCACTGTTCCCAAGTAGATATGGATTTTCTGCCCTCACTGTGGTGGGACCTATTCAAGTCAGACTCGGAAGTATCTGTGAAGGAAGACTACAGAAGAACCATACTTCTTGGGCACAAAGTTTTAGGGGTCAGGACTCAAAGATCAATCCTGTTTCTCTGCCTGATTCTGTGCCAGGGAGAGATGTACCCAGGTGTAGGGATGTAAGTGACTAGTCGACTACCCGATAAGCAAATGCTTAACAGGTAGTGGAGCAGGTACTCGAATAGTTACTTCCCCCTCTCTGGCTGCCTCTCTCTGACAGAGGCAGCAAGGCGGGGAGGAAGCAGGAGCCGGTGCAGGGGAGATCTGGGTTAAAAGCTGGTTCCCACCAGCACCATCTCCGCGGGGGTCAGAGGAGGCAAAAGGCAGATGGGAAATGGCGCGAGTGGGGAGAGAGACAGTCCCACTCATGCCAGTCCCGACAGTCCTGCTGCCTCTCTCCCTTTGAATGTACATTTCAAAGGGAGAGAGGCAGTGGGATAGCGAGCAGCCCCCTTATCGACTAATTGAGTAGTCGATGAAAATTCCATCAACTACTCTATTAGTTGATTAATCGAAATTTAACATCCCTACCCAGGTGGGGGACAGGCAGGCCATCAAGGCTGGTTTACTCCTAAAAAGTGCCCTGGAAGGGGCTGCTGCTGGCAACTTTCTTCATTTGGGGAAAGAGCAGCACCAAGTACTATGCAGGAGCTTCTACAGAATATGGAATGCCTCCAGTGCCGAGGGTAGACAAAGCTCATATATAGCTTCTGGTGAACAGGCCGGGAGTGGACTCAAATGCCTTTTACCAAAGGCACAAGTGGACTCAACCAACATTGAAGATGCAACTGGATCAGAGCAGCCCAACTTGGGTCTCATAGCTGCCAAGTCCTTAATTCTGGCTGGGAGAGGATCTTCCCTCCAGATCTTCCCCTGTCCAATATCCTCCTCTTCTTCTGTGGCACTGGCAATACATAGCGGTGCCTATGAGCAGTGTGGAAACTGTGGGAAGAGCCCATAAGGTGCCAGAAGTCTTTAACGGGCACCAGGGAGAGTGAGGATGGTGATGGCACACTGGGTATGAAGCAAGAGACACTCCATGCAGGGTATGTTGAGGCAGATCAGGCTAGGGCCTTTGTGCTGCCTCCATTAGTAAGACCTGGAGGTGCTGATCTCTGTCTTACAACGTGCAAAGTCAAAATGTCTCGCAAATTTCACAGTCACTGTTTTGATGGTCCTCTCCTACACACTTCAAACACTAAGTGTAAGGGTCACTTCTGTGCATATGTTTGCCACAGTTTTCATAGAATCACAGAACATTAGAACTGGAAGGGACCTCGAGAGGTCATCGATTCCAGTCCCCTGTCCTCACGGCAGGATCCAGTACCATCTAGACCATCCCTGATATATGTCTGTCTAACCTGCTCTTAAATATCTCCAGAGATGGAGATTCTACAACCTCTCTAGGCAACTTATTATAGTGTTTAATCACCCTGACAGTTAGGAACTCTTTTCTAGTGTCCAACCTAAACCTCCCTTACTCCATTACTTCTTGTCCTATCCTCAGAGGCCAAGGAGAACAATTTTTCTCCCTCCTCCTTGTGACACCCTTTTAGATATCTGAAAACTGTTATCATGTCCCTTCTCAGTCTTCTCCTTCCCAAACTAAACAAGCCCAATTCTTTCAATCTTTCTGCATAGGTTATGTTCTCTAGACTGTTAATCATTTTTGTTGCTCTTCTCTGGACCTTCTCCAATTTCTCCACATCTTTCTTGAAATGTGGTGCCCAGAACTGGACACAATTCTCCAATTAAGACCTAAGCAGTGCAGAGTAGAGCAGAAGAATGACTTCCTGTGTCTTGCTCACAACACGCGTATTAATACATCCAGAATCATGTTTCACAGACATTAAAACCTGGAGTCTCAGGCATGCCTTGGTGCTAAAGGCATGGGGGAGGGGAAAAAACCTCCCAACTGAAAATTCTTTTAACACTAGATGACTAAGAACTGTAACCCATTAACAACTACAAGAACAGCAAATGAAGTCAATGGACTGCTGCTTCATTTGCAAACAACAGCACAGGGGAGTTCCAGCTAGTCATCACCAGTGGTTAGAAGTAACTGAGGAGGGGGTGGGTCAGCAGGGCTCCATATCTGGCACCATGAAGGCACCACTTCAGGGGATGCCCAGACCAACCTATATCTAGCTGCTAGAGGGAAAACGTTCTGGATACCATGCATTTACATACACCCAATTGGAATGCACATGAACAAACACACGGAAAAGAACAGTGTACATTTATAAATGTTGTAAGTATTGTTCATTGTAACTGAAGTCAAAGTCTAGAACATAAGCTTAATTACCTTTACCTAATTTGCATAGATGGCTGGATAGTTACTAGGGATGTTAAGAGTTTGACTAACCACAACAAGCTGGTGCTTATCAGTTAATGGTCTCAGTTAAACTCAGCCAGTTCCTGGGGAGGCAGCTTAACTGTGGCAAAGCAGCAAAGTCTCCTTCCCCAGAGCTGGGTGGGCAAGGGGGCTCTGCAGTATAAAGCTTAGCAGTATAAAGGTTAGCTTTGCTTTATACTGCAGAGCCCACAATGCGTAAACCACTAAGATTATTAGCAGCTACACAGTTACTGTATTAAATGCTTTTTTAACATCCCTAATATTTACTCTAATAATTAAGAGCTAAAGTCTGCATTCAGATGCATGTTCTTAACTCCCAACAACTTTAATCAGTTATATAAACATATAATCAGAACTTGATTTTACATTTTAAGTCACTCTTGAAACATTTTAGAGGATTATTCTGTTAGTGACTGTAACTGATATATAATATTTGTACTTAGACTTATCAATGCATCTTTGTAGTACAGTATTACATTGCTGAGTAAGCTCAGAATTTAGTAATCCCAAACTGTGGTACACATATTACTTCACTTGTAAGTGGTATGTCAGAAACTTTTAAAAGTTTGAAACACAGTCATCATGTTCACTGCAGGGCACCAGAAAAATCACCAAGAAACAAAAAATGTAAATCAGTCTCCTGGCCACATTCAGCCCGAATGGTGAACTACACTTCTGTCACCATGCCAGTACTGCATTTATTTAGTAGTGATTTAAAATATTGTAAGTAAGTAAGTTAATAAATAAATATGTAAAAAAATGTGCAACAAAATAAAAAACCTAAGTAAATTTCAGCTCATGTTCAATAATATCCAAATAAAAATTAGTAGGAACTTTGAATTTAAAAGTAAACAGGCTAAAAAAAAAGAAATCAAGTCACTGAACATATTTCAACAGCACATCAAAATATATCAAGACCTTTTATGATGTTTGTTTCTTATAATTTGACGATCACAAAAGACAAATAATAGTGGCTGCTTCATTGTGTGTTTTTGATGTATTGTCTAAAAAAGTGAGATATCTGTCAAAAAGAAAAGTCTTAAAACAGCAAACAGCCCAGTGGAATCCCAGAGAATCAGATTCAAATCCCAAATAAGGTGGAGCAAGAACTTAGAACATCCCAGGTGAGTGCTCTAATTACTGGACTATTAGTTATTATAGGATGACTTGTGTTTGAGTGTGTTTTGTTCCATGTAGTATTTCAAGAGGTTTCTTTTTAAACTGAAACAAAAGTAAGTGGTAAAACCTCTTTTTTCTGTCAAATAGAATTGTTGTTTTCAAGCAGCCCTACTTACAAACGAACATTTTAGGCTCCCTTATGCATTTATTTTACTCTAGCATTTGTAAATACTCAACCCTATATTAGGACCTATAATAAATGCGTATGAAGGAGAAATCTGCATGTAGTATTTCAAACATCTGCTTTCGGCAGAAAGAAAAATATCCCACATACTTCACTACTGAGTTTTTCTGAAGGGACATCTTCTTCCTTTGCAGCATCCATCTCTTTTTCCTCTGTTTCAGCTTCAGTGGGTAAATTATCCTGTTTAGCAAGTAACTGTAAATACAAAAATCAAAGTTGCTAAATTTCACAATGTATATTAATTGAAATCTAACAGAACCCCAAAGGAGAGCAGAATCGTCATTGCTATCTAGTTGCTTTCCATCTTTAGAGAGAGAGAAAGAGTGAGTGAGTGTGTGCGCGCGCGCCTAAATTTACTCACAAATATAAGCTACTAGAAGATTTACCTGGCATTGCTCAAGTCCTTTATTCAATTAATTTTCAGTTTTTGGAAAGTAAAATGAAAATGAGCATGCTTCTTTTGAATCATTGCTCTGGGCTGGGGCTAGGGATGAGGGGTTCAGTATGCAGGCTGCTCCAGGGAGAGAGGACTACCACAGCCCTTTCTCACTGCAGCAGCTTGGGGCCAGGTGAGAAGCGCCTCTCCCTGTTCACTGCAGCTCCAGCGAGCACAACAAGGGGAGGGGTGCATGTTCCCCACCTGAGGCAGGTCCAGGTTCATCTGTCCCTTGCGCTCTCCAACCAGAGTAAGGAATGGAGAAAACTGTGTGCTCAGCTGCTCCCACCCTCCTCAAGAGTGCCGGGAGGGGAGGAAGGAGATCCTGAGGGCTGGGAGCTGGGCGGGCAGCTCCTTGTGGGAGGGTGGGGCCAAAACTGCTGGTCAGTGGGGCTCCCTCCTCTGGTGTTCAGCACTGCTGCTGAGGGCCAATGGAGAGAGGAGGCCACTTACAGTGGTCGGCAATATGAAGAGCTTTGGTCCCAGCTGGCCACTCTCTTCCTGGTGCGGCTGCTCCCACCTGCGGTCACTCTGCAGTATAACTGTCCCCCATACTCGCTCCCCACTGTGGTCACTGTAGAGCTTAAGTGTCCCTCCTATCAGACCCCTTCCTCTCCATGTTATGGAAAACAACAGAATCCTAGGCACATCCCATTTTCCTAGCACAGCCAAAATTTGACCTTGCCCTAACGTAGGGTAAGAGGAAGCTGCACACCAAATTTGGTAGCTCTAGCTCTTACCGTTTAGGAGGAGTTCTTGCACCAATGGACTCACAGACGGACTCACGGACAGACAGACAGATTCACAAACTCTCTAAAATATATAGATAGATAGATACTGCTTTTTCCAGAAAGCCTGATTAACTAAGATTTAGATGCTGAAATTAAGATTTTAAAAATTAAAAGTTATATCAACTATTCCTGCCTAATTTTGTGGTTTTACAATCATACACCTCTACCCCTTAAAGCACCCTCTCCCTTTCTGCTACATGAAACATTGATACAAAGGAGATCAAACTTTACTATAGAGGGATGGGATGGGGTGCCTACTCTACACAAGGTCCGGATGGCTTAAAGGGGTTAGGCAGGCCAATTAACAGCCCAGGCTACCCCGATAAAAGAGACAGGAAACAGGCCACTACAGCCAGTCCCTGACTTACAAATGAGTTACGTTCCAAGCACTTGATTGTAACTCGATGTGTTTGTAAGTTGGACCCCACTCATTTCAATGGGACCGCGCTGTTCATTAGCGTGGATCGCCGTTCCTAAGTCGGGGACCGGCTGTAACTGAAAATGGTCTCAACTGGATAGGAACAGGAGGAGTCTGTATAAAGCCCAGAAGTGTGAGCAGCAGGAAGCTGCAAGTTACTCCCTATGAGGAGGGAGCTTGGGCTGGTAAACCCAGGAAGAGAAGGAAGCTAGATAGGCAGGAAACAGAAATTCTCTCCAAGCTGTACTGCCACATAGCTACCTACTAAGTGCTATGCAGGCGCTCAGGCCAGTGGCAGGGAGGGTATGTCTACACTACCACCCTAGTTCGAACTAGGGTGGTTAATGTAGGCAACCGAAGTTGCAAATGAAGCCCGGGATTTAAATGTCCCGGGCTTCATTTGCATCTTGCTGGGCGCCGCCATTTTTAAAGCCCCGGTAGTTCGGACTCCGTGCCCGCGGCTACACGGCTCTCTAATCCGAACTACCTACTCCGTGCCGCGTGTTCATTTAAACTAAATATGTAAAATTGTGTTATCAAAATTCTTAACTGAAAAGATTTCAAAGACAGATACTAAATAGTTATTTATAAAGTCACTTACTTTGGAAGTTGTAGACTTTCTCCTTTTGGCTCCTACTTTTTCTTCACTTCCCTCACTAGGCTCTTGACAGCTTTCCTCAACAGTCTCTTTAACAGGGTTATTAACATTTGGATGGGACTTTAAGACAAAAACAAACATTTCCACATTTATGAAGTCCATAATTTGCTAAAGTAATTAATAATATTTACATTTAGTTTTCACTGTTGGGTTTAAAATTAAAAACAAAATTGTCTTTACCTGTGTTATAAGTAGTCCTATAGCTTATTAGAACCACTAGAAGTCTTACCTGGTGTTGCCTGACTCCAGTCTGGGGTGAGGATATGCACCCTGGCTGCCAGATTCAACCAGGGTTTGACCGGCCAGGGGGGACAGACTGCGCAGGCCACCTCCCAGTGCTCCCTAGGTGTGTGCGTGCCAGCCAGCACGCACCTTTTCCTCAAGACAGGCTAGGGTGTCAGGTGCTGCCAGCCATTGGCTTCTCACTTGAGCAGTTGCTGCCCCATGTTGTAATTCCACAGTATAATTGTTCCTCCCCCCTCCCTTTCCATTTTATAAGAAACAGTTGAATTCAAGGTACATTCCATTGTCCTGACAACTAAACCCTAACCTTGATTTAACTTAGGATAAGAGGAAGCTGCTTGCCAGATTTGGTGGTCCTAGCTCTTATGGTTTAGGAGGAGTTCTTGAACAAATAGACTCATGGATGGACAGAAGACAGCCACACATTTCCAAAATAGATATATTTTAAGAAACCTAGTTTTTTCCACTATACATGATTTTAAAATTTCTCTCAGCTGAGAATAAAATAAAATTTCAAATTTGACTCTCATTTTCCATTCATTAGTAAGTAAATTGTGTTTAGATAAAATACATTTTCCCTTGCAATATTTGTTAAAAAGCTTCCATTGAGATTTAATTACAAATGTTGAGCCAAGTACAACGGGGTAAAATCCTTAGTACACCAGAACTCAATTCCACTGCTGAACAGAAAAAATACTACAAAAGCATTTTCTTGCACATCCCTCCCTCACTATACACGTGACTTGCCATTTAATAATGCCTCAACAAATGCAAAATCTGACACCATTCTTTAAAGCTTTTTGGGCTGTGTGAAGGGGCATTAGACAAAAGTTTGCAGTTTGGCTACAACCAAATAGATGTCTAAGATTGTCCGTCAATGCTAGATGAATTATAAGCAAATGATTGTTTTCAGGAAAGGCAAAAAGGATAAAAAATATTCTTTGATTCAATGAAGATGGGAAGAATAGCATCAGAACTATGGAAATAATAATAAAGGGAAAATCACTTGCCTTTCATTCTGCTTCTCTGCAGATAATATCATGCATGAGTCTCACTCCTAGGACTTACATCTCTATATGAGAGTAGAACACCCCTCTTGATTTTTTCCCCTGTTGAGGGCAGTTGTTTTGGAGTAGAGCCCAAAGCCTCCATACTAATAGCTGGAAACTATCCGCAGCAAAGTATACCCTGTGTACATTCAAACCAGTTCCTTCATTGTTGCAGAGCAACAGCTCTGCTACAGTTAAATAGGTTAAGCCTGGCTTTCTGCCTAAAACTTATCTCTGTGCTCTAAAATCCCATGGTTGCTTGGGCTGCATTGAAATTGTGTGCGCCTCAAAGGAGATGTCGTAGTTATCCAGATTTGGGGCCATTTGACCAAGATAGTCCTGAGATACAGCAGCCAGAAAAAATAGTCTTTTCTTAAAGGTAATAAATTCTGTCATCCAATTTATGTTCATAGATATACATCAAATGAGGGCTCAGGTCATTGCACAATGGTCTCCAATATTCAAGGTTATCACAACAGAATGTATAGCCCTTTGAGGAAACGAAGTTAAAATGTCATTTTAAACTGTCATTTCAAAGAGTTCCCTTTTGGTGCTTATGATTAACAAATTAATCTGACCATATGCAGACAAAGGCTAACTATCTGGAAAACTATTTTTTTTAATCACAGGACCTCGAAGGCTCTAAGGGGACTATTGCAATCCTTAAATCTGAACAGCCTCCCCTCCTACCCCGAGCTCAAATCCAACTTAGTGCAAAAACCTCAAGTAAAAAAGCAAGCATAATGATACAATCTACCACTAACATAAAGGATTGGGGGGAAGAGGGGAGAGGAAAATGTGATCATAATACAACAGAATATTCAGAAAACGAACCTATTTTTTGAAAATACACCACACAAGGAAATTCTAACCAGGAAGAGTGATTAACAGTGAAGAGTAGGTAAGAGTAAGAGGAAAGGCTTTGGGGCTGGGGGTGTGACCCTAGGGGAGTGAGTGACAGGAGGACTGTGGGAGAACAGGGGCAGGGGAGCGGGTCAGCTCCAGATTCCTGTTGTGTATATGCACTGCAAACTGAGGCCCCTAGTAGGGATGTTAAATATTGGTTAACTGAATCGTCGAGTAACCTCATTAATTCTTATTGGTTAGTCGACTATTCTATAGTCCCTGGAGGCGGGGCCAGCAGCCAGTGCGCTCTGGCTTCACTCTTGAAGAGCCTTCTGCCACTCTGCGCTGCTGCCTCTGCTTCATGGTGTCAGGAGGGAGCTGGTCTGTGAGGGGACCCAGTTTAAAAGCCAGATCCCATTGCAGACCAGCTGCCTGTCACCCTGTGCTGCTGCCTCTGATAAAGAGGCAGCAGTGTGGGGTGCAGTAGCCCCTGTCTGGGGGACGTATGAGCTCCCTTACCCGGCGCGAGCCAGAACTGAGACGGGCTGCCTGCCCATGTCTCCCACATGTCAAATGCAGAACTGAAGCAGGGGTAGGTCCCGGACCCATTACAAGCCAGGGCTGATCCAGGCTGCTGGCCAGCCTGGTAAAAAATTTACTGGTTTGTGGGGGAAGAAGGAGGGAGGGGGAAGAGAGGGAGGGAAACGTGTATAGTCTATATCATTAACCTATAAGCTTTAGCTTATTGGTTAAATTGACTATACTATTAAATCCCTAGCCCCTACCCATCTCTGGTAGTGGTCACCCTATCATGTGAACCAGGTTCTGTGGGTTACTTTTCTGTGGATGCTTGACCCATGCTCCCTAATCCCTTCCAGTGATTCAAGAGTAACTGCTCATATATGGCTGTTTGAGCCCTGCTCCCAGCTTACACTGTGTGGCTGCCAGGACCTGGGGACCCCTGCCCCTGGACAGAAGTTTCAGTCACATCCTTGTCGCGCTCTCATGACACCCAGATTAGAAGTGGTGGAGCTTGCTTTTTATGGTGTCTGATTTAAGAATGTTAAATACCACATAACTGAATAATCATATAACCAAATCAAATGTTAGCAGTTACATGATTATTTGATAGCCCCCGGGGCCAGGAGCCAGTGCACTCCTGGCCCCATTCCCGGGGAGCCCCCTGTCACCCTGAGCTGCTACCTCTGATACAGCACCCACGACTCCCCTTGCAGACCATCTCCCGCCTGCCACCCTATGCTCCTGCCTCTAACACAGAGGCAGTAGTACGGAGGCAGCATCCACCAGCCCCCATCCACAGGGGGTCTGAGCTCCCCAGGGACAGAGGCTGCACTGGTATCCCACAGAGCAGCCTCTGTCCTTGGGGGTTAGGTGGAGCCAGTGCTCGTGGGTGCCAGCTCCCCCAGAGCACCGGCTTCCCCAAACTTAAAGTCAGCTCCCCCAGAGCACCGGCTTCCCCAGACTTAAAGACAGCTCCTGCAGAGCACCGGCTCCTGCCTGTGGGATACAGCATGGGGCGCGGTTAGACATGTTTAATTTTAATTAGCTAATCGAGTAGTGGATGGAATCTCTCACTGCACTTCTGCCTTTTTCCCACTGCACCTCTGCCTTTGAAACATACAAAAGCCACGGGTGGCTCTTGTACATTACAAAGGGAGAGATGCAGCAGTTAGGACACCATGCAAGCTTGGAGTGCTTCAGTCCCTGCTTGTGCCATTTCCCCCACTGCACTTCTGCCTCCCTTTCCCCGCCCTGCGGACTGACTTTTAAGCTAGCTTCCCCCACTTGGTGCCTCAGATAGAGGCAGCAAGGTGTGGGGAGAGCAACTAGTCAAGTAGTGACTCGACTAGTCACTTACATCCCTGGGAAGGGGGCAGGTGGCTCCGCAGAGCCAGCATGCATGGAGAGCCAGCTTAAAAGCTGGTTCCCACCTCTTTCCCCCACCCCACCCAGGTGCCTCTGTTAGAGAGGAAGCAGCATGGCAACTGCGGGAATGGGGGCAGGTGGCTCCCGCCTCACCCTCCCTTGCTGCCTCTGATAGAGAGGCAGACAGTGGGGGAGTGCATGTAGTCGACAGGATTTACCAATAAGCCCAGGCTTATTAGTTAATTGTGTAATCATCTATATATTGACATCCCTAGTCTGAGACCTTCTCCCTGCCCCATGTGAGCTGGAATCTGTGGAAATCCCATCCCCTGGTTGGGAAGCTTAAACCAGGCATGATTATAGCAGGCACCAAGAATATTGCTGAAACTGAGGTGAGGAGCTGAGCATGGGTATGTTTGACACATCAAAAACTTTCCAGTGCTGACAAAAGAGGAAGGTAAAATTATACTATGTCTAAACTGGCAATTAGGGATGTTAAATTTTAATTAACTAATGGAATAGTCAATGGGATTTCCATCGACTATTCGATTAATCAAGAAGAACTTCCAACTTTGAAATGCACAAGAACCCCCGCTGGGGCGGAACGTGGCATGGAGTCTGGGGTCAGCGGGGGACTCTGTGGTGTGCCTGCTTTGAAATGTACAAGAGCTGCTGTGCCTCTGCCCCCTCCCACGGACCTGGCTTTTAAGCCAGCTCCCTCCAGCACCTCTTCCACTGCCCCCCCTCTTGTTGCCTCTTTGTGATAGAGGCAGCAAGGGGTGAGGGGAAGCTACCAGTCAACTAGTGTGTCAACTATCTGATAAGCTTTTGCTTATAGGAGAGTTGACTAGTCGATTAGTAGCTTAAATCCCTACTGGCAATCAGTGGTTTTTAATACACAACCTCCCCATCCCTAAAGACAAAATTAGTGTCAATGGCAGCGCTCTCCTGCCAACAATGCAAAAACGTCACTGGAGGCATTGACTATAGTACACAGCTTTTAGCCATTTAACCGTATCGACACATCCATGTCAC